GTTTTCAATTGAAACATGCATTTTTTCAGCGTTCAATCTATGCTGGCACATTCTCTTGATAAGCTTCTTTCATCAGATGCTATTGTAAGAAAGGCTGTCTGGGTCCACATTTGTTTACATTTATTAAAAATAGTTGTCATGTGTTTATATAATTCCTTTGATCCAGAAAAATCCCCAAACACTTTGTAATTTATGCTTAAAAGGGTCACTTCCTCCACCCTGAACAGAAACTGGGTTGGGACTGAGGCATGGCAGCAGCCTAAAAATGCATAGAAACATCACGATAATTCGGTCTGTCCTCACCCCCTCAGAGCACCATCAGTTTTCCATGAGTTTCAGAGCAGTTACTGGGACCATAAAGGCGGTTTGGACTTCTGGGGCAAAACATAGTGAAAAGACCGTCTTCCTAGAGATGGCATTTTTTTCATGCACTTCCTTTTCCTTTGCAAATAAAGAAGCAGTGGCACCTGCTGCGAAAAGCATAGGGTTGGCAGTATCTCAGCCAGACCTACTGTTCCCAGTTTGGGGCACCTCACTCCAGAGAAGACACAGATCAACCATGCAGAGCCGGGGGAGGACAGAAGAAAGGGTGGAGGGGGAGCGCCTGAGGACTTGCGGAGAGAGGCGGAGGGGATGGTTTGTTTAAATGAGGGAAGGCTGAGGTGAAACGTGGTTAAGTCTTCAAAACACATGAAAGGCTGCTGAGAAGAGGAAAGGAATAAACCTGTCCATGGGGACAGGAGAAGTCACGAACTTACACTGTAGCAAGGGAGAGTTGGTGAAACGCTAGGCAGTAATTCTGGACTTCAGTAATGGTGAAATACTGGAATAGATGTCTGCAGAGACTCTGGAACTACTGCCATTGTAGGGTTGGTTTTTTTTTTGAGATTGGCATAGACATAAATGTCAGGAAGGGTTTAGATCTTGTTCCTGTCTTTGGGACAGATGGGCCGGAAAGTCCCTCCTGGTCCTATCTTCTGTGATTCTGCTGTGGTGTCAGATGTGGTCAGATGAGCCCTGCTTATATGGATAAACCAAATCACACTAAAAATTAGTTTGTGAGCTCCTTGCAAAGTCCTTGCAAACTACACCAGAACAGAAATTCCCCCGAAGGCTGGCATGTATGTTTGTATTATTTTTCAGTTTTAAAATGCTCCCAGATCATCAAGGTGCTTCAGCACGCCCCCAGCGCAGAGGACGTGAATCATGTAATTGGATTCAGTAAGGTCTGTTCACAAAGCCTCTGCCCGGGGCCCCATTTTGGGGGAAAGTTTTACACGTTGTAATGACGGTAAGACAATGTATGACTAATGCACTGATTTGAAAAACTGCCCTATTATCTGATCAAAAGTACAAGCTCATGAATGTGGTACCGCGGGTCATTTGGCTAAAAGATACCCAGAGTCTTCCAAATTTTTAAAACAATCCCATACACAGAAGTAAAAAACAGAGGTATGAACAGTGGAGCCAGCCTGTTCACCACAGATCATATGGAATGTTTTATTAAAGATATTTTTATCAGACACAAAAGACTGAAATACAGAATATCCTGGGCTTGCAAGAGAAGGCGTGATAATAATTTTGATTATTATCCCTCAGATCATTTTTATTATTCTCTATGTTCATTTCAGGAATGATCAAAACCTCCCTGAGGACAATGGAAAGTTTCCAGTTGAGTTCAGGGGACTCTGCTGCTGCTTTCATCCTTAGGGAAGGTCCGAGGGTCAGTGAGATCCTCTGTGCACGTGCAAACATGCTCGGAGGGAGTTTGGAGAAGTCGTCTCCTGACACCAGGGCCACTTCTAAGATTAGGTTATAATCTAACCTGGCTGTCTAGGGCCCCTCTGAAACCCCGAGGAAGAGAAAAACCCCCAAGCAAGAATAAGTACACCCTAGAGACCTGCACGGGAATGAGGTGGACCACCACCTGGAGAGGTTTCTCTCCCCATTCACTATAGAAACAACCTAGTTAGAAACTTGGAGATTTTACAAAGAGTTTTGTAGCATTTGGTAAAAGGGATCCTTCTCTTTAAATATCTCTAACCCACCTTGGCAGTCGGCTGGGATGCTAGAAGAAAAGTTGCATTTAAGAAAATGTCTTATATGGATGGCATGTATCCATTTATATGGATAAACTGTGATTCATTTGCTATTAGCATGCTTTGTACACATTAATGGAAGCACACGGTTCTTCCCTTGTAAAGCACTTAAGGATTTTTTAAAAACAAACAACCCCACCTAACAGTATGTATCTTAACAAGGAAGCCTTTATAGAAATCTAATGTCTTGAAACCAGAAAATGACCTCACTGACTGAAGAGAAGAGTAGTAAAAAATTCCCAGGCCTTTTGACAGGAAACCCTGGGATTTTAAGTAAACTGTAGGAGTTTTTTTCCCCAAAAAAATACCTGTTTTCAAGGGAGAAAAAAAAAATCAACAAAAAAATGACAAAACATTTCTGGCAGTTGGCTAGAAAATGGAAACATCATAAGGAAATGTAAAAGGTTGATTTAAGGCTGTTTTAGGAATCCCTTAGAGGTAGTTGGCTGATGAATGGGCTCATGATTCTTTTACGGGTTCCCTGGCCAGCCTGTGTCCCCCATCGGACATCTCACACAATACATGCCTGAGGTGCAGAAAGACAGTTTGCACGAGGGACATTTTAGCCTCACTGGAGGATCAAGCCCATAGATTGTGTCAGGAGCAGGACACACCCAAACTGCAAGTCTAAATGGCATTTTGGCAATGTTTTTTTAAATTGCAATTGAAAACCAGACCCTCCTTGCAGTTTAAAATTTAATTCAGGGTTAAATTTTGTAGTTCTGCAAAGTGACAAACAAGATGAGTACAAGCACCTACCCATACTTACCTTAGGGAAAACTGGTACAGGGGAGAAACCCCAATTTTGTGATTCCACTGTCAGTGTTGCCAGATCTGTGCACCGCAGCATCACTGAACAGGATAAATGAGATCTGGATCAGAAGTTTGAGCGTGACTGCATTTCTGTTGAATTACTCAGAGAACGTAGTACTTGTTTTTGTCAGAAGTATGCTTTAACGATGCTTTGTATTCGCCATGGGATGGCCATTCATCCTTGATGTTACATATATTACAGGAGCTTGGATAGACAGTGCCTAATCTGGCATCCTTCTTGCCAGCGCTAAAGTAACCGCTCAAAAAAAATGGACAAATTTGAAAAAGCGGCATTAGCTTATCCCAGATCAACTCTTTGTATGCAGTGACTGCAGCGGTTTTCATGCGCTATAGCAGAAGGTCTGAAGCTATGTGTCTTGTATCATCTGTTCGAGACATAAACCAACCACTCACCATGGGAATTTAGATAAGAGCTTTCTCCAGAAGGCTTGATTTCAGAATTTTCTATTTACAGCAGTTTGTTCCTCTGGAACGAGCACCGCTTCTCACTGTCAAAGACCTAATGCTGGTTAGATGGATTATCTGCTCGCATGAAGCAATTCCCACGTCTTTAATTCTAGGCTGCCTTTTCTTTTTATTTTAATTCATTGCACATTAGTTAAGACCACTTCTAGCTACAGAACAACTAACCCACCCAGAATATGTGGTGACAGTATAAAGGATGAGGGAAGAAATGAAATGAATTATCCCAAAACCCAGGGTGAAGTGTCACGTGCAGTGACTGTGAATTGGATTTGATGTTGACCCGCGTGTGTGTTTACCAGTGCCCTCTTCTGGGTTGACTCTGATCTTCTCAGTTTGTGATTGACTCAACACATTTGAAGCATCGGAGCTAAAAGCTATCTCATTATTGCTTAGACAGAAAAAGACAAAAGCCTTCCGTGCTACTAAATTCTATTGCTGTGCAAGAATCTAGAGCAAAGTATTGTTCTTTTTATCTGATATTATGCAAGACACAGCCTTTTTCTTCCAAGGTCAGGCTCTCAGATACTGTATCTAAATATTTATAGGACTGCATAGCTTGTTACCCCATTAAAAAAATATTTGACAGCCATTTTCAGTGCCTCCAAATCCCCTTTATGGAAGATTTAAAAAGTAATGCAGTGAATCTGCAAGTATTAGTGTCACATCTTGTTTTCAGGGGAATTTGTCTCTTTTCTCCTTGCACAGCCTTGTTTTTAAGTCCAGAATCCATCTTGCGCAGTTTGCATGCTCAGTTGTGCTGCTCTGTGACAAGTGGTGGATTATGGATCATCCAATAATGGATGCAATGGAAGCATTTTATGAAACGGAGATTACAAGTTAAAACTTCCAAATCAATTGTAAGTGGACCTTTTTGACCTTCATTGTCATGGGAATCATGCTGAATTCCAACCTGTAAATTCAAAACAAAGTACTAACTCAAGCTACAATCAATAAGCAATCACTGCTATCGAGACAAATACAGGGAGTTGGAAACTTCACACTGAGTCTGGTTTTGGCATTGTGTTTTGACCCAAAATGGCCTAAAACCAGGAAAATAAATGAAGCTACTTGGTCTTCTGTGCTCAAGGTTATCAGTTGTGTAAGGGCACCCTGAGAAATTCTTTATGGCTTGTGAAACAGAAGAAAAACATATTTTGTGAGCCCTGTTGGACTTAGCATGCAGGCCATGGTGAGTAAGACGTCTCTAAGACGTGACAAATTCTGAGACCTTTGGTGGCAAGAAGGTACGTAAGAACATAAGAATGACATCATCCTGGGTCAGCACAAAGATTCATCTATCACAGTCTCTGATGCGGGCCAATAATGGATGCTTAAAAAGTGCAATAAGTTAGATATATCAAGAGTGATCCCTCCTTTGGCTATATTCTACCAGCAGCCAGCAGCTGAGGGACATCCTGAATCAGAGCTGTTTCCAGATCATCACGCTCATCAGTCCCTGGGGCTCTCCCTGTGTGTCTGATGCGTGCAAACAATAACAATAATTGTGATTGTCGTCGCTGTTGCTACCACATAGAATGACAGCTCACACAGCAGAGATAAGGATTCTCCTGTTTAATTTCCTTCTCTTGTGTTTTCTTTTAGCACCACCACGTTCCCTTCCTATATCAGGATAACCAACAGCTACATCACAGTCAAACCTCCCATTTGGATTTCAAACCGGCTGGACCAGAGACCGCGTTCAGATCTCCCATCCCAGCCTCAGCCTACAAGCTCAGCTTCAGCCAGCGTTTTATGGCCATCAATAACTTCTCCTCTCTGCGTGGCCATAACTTCTTTCCTCCTGAATCTACTGCAGCCTTCCTGACCACATTAGTATTACGTGCAATCCCTTGGAGTAGAGAAGAGAGATAATTTATGAATGAATTGGAGGTTAAGACAACAACAGTTACAAGCTGGACCTTCTCGGTGAATCAGTAGTGCCTTCTAGCTGATTTTGTCTCTTTGCCCAGATACATTTTGAAACTCTAAAGCTTTATTGTAACACTGACTTACATCTTCTTTTTGTAGAAGGATCTTTATTTCCCATAGTGCTATGGGGTTTTGTAAAATATACATGTTCATATAAAGAAAAAAAAGGAAAAGAAAAAATGTATTTATTCGACTGGTAAACTTATTTTTCTTGTTGTATATGTTAATAACATACTTATTAATCAGTAGCGATGGTGAAACAGATAAATTAATATTTTCTATATTTGTTTTCTAACTGACAACTCTGCAAATGTCTGAAGTGACACCAAATGAATGGCTTCTTTGTTTCTTTAACCATTACTTTTTACAGCAACTGTCCAATAAGTACATTTCTACTGAACTTCTTTACTTTACATATTTTTAATCTCGTTCACATAGCTTACACTGAGTAAAGCAGATCTTGCTCTCTGTGGCCTATGCCCCTTAGAAAAATAGGTGTGTTCTTAACTCAAGTTAGCTGCTACAACCTAAAATCCCAGTTATTTTTATATGACTTAGTAAGTCATCAGTCAAGATAACCCTCTAAGTTCTCTGTTGTCTTTAACTAAACTATTTAACTTCTTTGGAAATTGCCAACTTCCCTCTTTGCCCTGGGATTAATTCATTAGGTAATGCAAATTAAGACAGCTTTTTCTTAATAAAAAAATTCTTTTAAAGTCTGGGATAATCCCACTGGAATTACTTTCTTCTCTCCCTCATGTTATATCAACACAAGCCTGCCACCTTTCCAAGCTTAAATGAGAGCAGAACTTGGTCTGTCTGTAGGGTATAAAGATGCAGTATCCTGTTAATCTATAGAACTTCTTTGTACCAGTTGTATTTATGGAGGGCAGAAAACATCTACAAATTCCTCTTCATCTTGCTATTATGACGCTTAGAGCTGGTATTTCTGTGCTGAATTATGGCCTGTCCAAAATCTTTTCGATACCACAGGAGCCGAATTAACCCCTGTGTCATGGGGACGAATAGAGTGTTCCTCCATTTGTAGACTCTGGTACTGCTGTTGTCTTAGATGGAAACATTACTACACCTTACACTCACTGAAAATTTTACTCCCTCTCCAAGCAGCTTCTTTTCATGAATGTGGTGAAAAACATCTATGGGGAAAAAAAAAAAAAAAAAAGTCCATCTTAAAAACTATTACATTTAAGAATGTATGTTGATTTTTTTCCCCCAACAAAGCATGATGAAAAATCCCTTTGGATACAAGAGTTTCAGTGAGAAAATTTATGTTGGTTGAAATAGTGATTTTCTTTCTAGGTCATCTACAAACCAAAAATCTAAATTATGTGATGGAAACATCTTAGTTAAAAAAGAAGACTCCAAAACCAGAAAAATACAGCGTAAACTTTTCTTTATGAAAAAGCAGTGCTTTTTCATCTTGAAAAAAATACCAGACGATAATGATGATGATTACGATAATAATACTGATAAAAATCTGACTGAAAACAGTCATGTCACTTTCCCACCAGCCCTACAGTGTGGTCTCCAAGACTGGAGAAGATGATTCCATGCCATCTTAAAGTCTCTGCAGTGAGAGATGGTTTAGGATTCATGGGTTGTTGGGTTTTTTTTGTCATTATACCAGTTAATTCAGGATAGTAGGTTAGGAAACGATTAGACTACAAAAGGCACATGGGGTTTTTTTGAACCATGATGAAATATTGAGCTTTTCCATCACTTATCCCAACCCATTGCCTTACAAAAGGCCAGGGAGAATACAGATAACCTCTTTTTTACTTACTGCACACTAGGACCTCCAGCCTTTGCTCTGTTTTTGACAGAAGGTTGTGTAGATTTGTGGTCAATTTAAGTGGGTACAGCAGACAGTGCTATAAGTTACCTTTTTTTTTTTTTCAAGTGCAACAGTTGATAAGGCTGAATGGAAAACTTCGAGCTTTGCCCCAAGTGTAGGCTTCAAGCACACCCAGTGCATACTTTTATATTGTGTATTTTGGCTAGCAGAAGATTGGAGATGTTAGTTTTGGACAGAAGCCATTCACCTTGCATAATATTTATTGCACGGGGCTGGATATTGGAAACATATTTTGAGAACTTTCAGTTCCATTTTATTTGAGCTCTTACGCTAGAAATGCTTTGATTTGAATATAATGGCTTAACAGATCTTCAAATTCAACATTAATGCATTTAAAAGATGATTGGCTGTCCTGCTGTATTCAAGACAGAGGTCAGAACTGGATTATAATGTCTTATTTACACAAATGGAGCTGGAAATAAGGTAGGCAAATCTTAAGGGTGATGATAAGTTACATAGTAAAAGTGAACAGCCAACAAACCGAATCCCATTGAATTTTATTTGTTATAGTCTGATCGAATCCAGAAATGATTCTGTGGTACCATCCCAGAAATAATTCCAGGTGTTGGAAAACTTACAGTATAAATAGACACGACCACATATAGATAAGGGAAAGAGAAAAACAGAAACAACTTGTCCAAGACTGTAAGGAAAAACACCAATGGGACCAAGATTAGAAATTACAGTTCTACAGTTTCCCAACCTGTGGCTTTCTCCATAAGCCTCTGGGGCTTTTTTTGAATATTAGGAGCACACAGATATCTCCACACTCACAGCTGTCATTATACCGCACAGAATAGTCACTCCCTTCGTCACGGATGAGGTTTTTTTTCTGAGTCACTCCTCCACTGGACAGTAATACTCAATATTCATTAGCTCAGTTATCACGGTATGCTTGGATATCACAGCGTGTAAATAGCTTGGATATCAAAGTATGTTTTGACTTACTTGCATTTCCTGGCATTTTGTCTGTAATTCCTGTGAAATGAATGAATGTTACTGGAGCTCGCCGAATTTCCCTTGCGCTGGTGCTCTGCGTTTGTCATACCGCAGTGCAGGGGTCAAAGCAAGATGTCTCCTGGCTTTGGGGCCAACACACTTGACTTCTGCCACCGAAAAGCGTCTAGCTCGCCTGGTCATCTGAGCTTCCTCTGGTTAGGGAAGAAGACACGACTTACAATAAATATGAGATTAAGTAGCTTCCCCTAGATCGTAGCTCAGGAGCCCCACATGAATGGCTTCAGCACAGTTCTCTAAGCAAACATTTATTTTATTCTGTTGTTTTACCCTAAGGTCCAACTTAGGGTAACTTTTTTCAATCTGTAGCATGTGAGCATAGCAATACTAGAAAAGGAGACCCTCACTGTGATTGATAAAATGGATTATTTATTAATAATCAGCTACAGCAGCCCAGTATTAATTAAAATACACTGATGCTAGTTAGCACGGATCTATGCACATCCATTGCAATGGGTCGTGATTATATTCAGCATGAGTTTAAAAAGTGTGCATTAGATTTGATACGTGCTCTTGAAGTAACACTGACTACCATCTTCATGGGACTTCAGTTTTCTTGTTGGGTTTCTTGGAAAATTAGAAACCGACTCTTTTCTTTTTTCCGAAGGAAAGCTCAGATTCCCGTATAATCACAAGATTCCAGGAGCAGGATTTTTAACAAAAATATCCGTGTGCACTATATATAGTAGCAAATGCCGGTGATACTATTTACCTCTGAGAAACACAATCAAGAGAGTCACGCAATGTCTAGCAATCAAGGACATGGTTTTGGATGAGTCCAAAGCTGAAGGTTCATAAGATTCATCTTTTCCACGCAACTACAACTGACACCAATACAATTCACATTATATACAACTGTAACATTATAAATGAATGCTAATTATCTGCCAAGTTCTTGCCCGGGTGGAATAAATATCCCATACCACCAGCAATGGATCTAACTTCCATTCTTTCATTGTTTTAATGCTTTTCTTTTGCCTATGTTTAACTATATTAACATGCATTGCCACTTGGAGAACCAGTTAGTAAGCTGGGACAGAAGGTATTTTATATTTTATGACTGATGTAGTTTCTCTGCAATCCCTTGGGCTGTTGAATAATGCAATACCTCTTCTGGCAATAAATGATGAACATGATTTATGATAACTATGCTTTATACAGGTGTCAAAAATCTGCTTTGTTGAACTTCCCTTCCCATTCCTCCAAGCTCCACTGTAATTTAGGAACACCCAAGGTACAGAGTTGTGTATTTATCTAAGTTCTTCAATATACAGTTGTGGAGAGGGCGAGAGATGGAAAGAGGGAGAACTTAATCTATGTTTAGTGCATTGATTAGTCGAATGATATGACCCAGTCATTACCATATACCACTGCTAGGGAGGAATTTCCCATCATATATTTATGTTAGAGAAACCAAAGTGCCAAAGTTATTATCTCAGCATAAATGTTATCATTCCAAACTTTGCTTAGTACCATAAGATATTTCTATATTATATCCAAAAAGCATATGGGCTTGTCATATCTCTGAAGTGATCGATGTTCCATGGAGCGAGCTAGAGTTCAGCTTCAATTTAAGCTTGTTTCAGCTTAACTGAAGCAGAAAGATAATTGCCTAATTTTGAGATCCTGGGGTGTACGTGTGCATGTGTGTGTGTGTGTGCGCACGCACGTGTGCGCACATATGTATGTTGTGTGCGTGTGTTTTGTCCCAACCCAGATGCAACCTTTCCTGGGACTAGCTTTTCAGGAGGCACCTTAATCTAGCTAAAGGTAGAGAGGTCTTTCCAATAAGTAGTCAATACCTTTCTGCTACAGGAACGATCAACCATCCTGCAGATTCATGTTCACACTGATTTTTAAATTGCATGTTTGTCAGTTTTCAATTCAAATGTATTTCAAATATTTTTTCCTGTTCCGCCTCCTGCTTTTGTGAACTGTTTTGAAGAGTGTAATAAAAAGATGCTTTCTAATATTATTTTGTCAAAATATTTTTGTAGCATAATATATTAATAAAATGTTATTATAAATTCATAGCATAAGAATCTTGTATGTCTAGGTTCTTTCCTTTGCACTAAAAGCGAGGGAATCGCTGAAAAAGGGAAACATTTGGTTTGTAGAGCTTACACATGCTGCTTCCCTTGTGGCCAAGACATGGGATGAAGGAAACCATACTCTGGGGAAGGTTCCTCGTAAAATGATGTGGTTTTGTCAAGTCCATTCCTGTGGAGATTTGGAGAATCTGTCTATGTACCTTTTTATTGGTGAGATGCTGCTGCACCTGACGTGTAACGAGTCAGTCTGGAGCAGCCTCAGTCTCTCATCCATGTCACTGGGGAGAAGCTGCTTGGTTAACCTCATGGCATGGTTTTAGTGGGGCTTGAGGAGAGGGAAAGGCTCTGAACAGCAGATACAGGCCCTGGGAGCTGCGCTTGCGTCTACCATTTCAAAGGCTCAGTGGGAAAGCACACAAAAAAAAACCCACAAAGGCATTTTTTGGATGCAGAGGAGCAGGAGGAGATGCAGGAGTAGGGATCTTAAAGGACATTGACCTGAATGTGGGTGGAAAACTCTGCTATGTGGATGAGACTGAGGCAAAGGGAGAAGTTTGGGGTGTTTCATTCTCACATCTGCTCATTTGCAAGCAGCCCAGGGTAGTGCATGGTGAGTCCCGCAGCCTTTGGGCCAGACACGGTGGCGTATGGGACCGCAGCTGGGGGATGGAGCAGGACGAGCGCATGGACAACCCAAAAGTGCACCACGGGGCTAAGGACAGTGGCGTTGCCAACCCAGCAAGGCTTGGCACCAGTAGCCCACACTGTGCTACAA